AAAAAAAAAAAAAAACACAACAAAAAAACAAAAACGGAAAACCAACCCAAAAAAAACCCAGACAGTTCAGTCCGTCCTCGTGCCTCACATAGCCACGAGCTGCTCCAACTCATCCAGTATGGCGGAACATTCCTTAATCTCTGCTTGAAACGAGGAATGCTTCTCCAGGGACTGGAGTCTCCCTTCTTCTGCCGACTTCCATTTGGCCATCTCCGCCTGCGCAGAGAAGTCAGCGTAAACCACGTTGCACTGACACAGAAGTACCAAACAGCAAAGCCAAGTTCTAAAGCAGCTCCAGCTAAAGCACTTGAACTCTTCAGCAGGGTCTTCCTTGCTAAACTGAGATGAGTCTAGCCTGACCGGGATGCCTTTTACCTCTGTTCCTTGAGGAAAATGGCAGTTTATCTGCGCCCAAAGTTTGGGAAGTCTTCTCTAACAGCCATTTCATGAATTAGCTTTTAAGCTTCGTACGCAGAATTGTAGAACTAGAACTTAATGACTGGTTTGGTCAGTATAAAGACAAAATAGTATTACGGACGCTGCTCGCGTACCTCTTAGCTCCCCGAGGTCGCTGCTCTGCAACGCTCTCCAGGTTAGATGGAGCATTGTGGATGCCAGCGTTACAGCCAGACTGGAGGACCAGCATTCTGCTGGTGGTGCTTACAGCTACCTGCAGCCTCGGAAACTCTCTCTCTCTAGAGAGGAGCTGGTCTAAGCAGAGACAGATCCATTTCCAGTACTGGCATCATTCTGCCGGTGGTGCTTACAGCTACCTGCAGCCTCGGAAACTCTCTCTCTAGAGAGAGGAGCTGGTCTAAGCAGAGGCAGATCCATTTCCAGTACTGGCATCATTCTGCTGGTGGTGCTTACAGCTACCTGCAGCCTCGGAAACTCTCTCTCTCTAGAGAGGAGCTGGTCTAAGCAGAGACAGATCCATTTCCAGTACTGGCATCCATCTTTACCTTGGAACTGATTCAGTGTAACTTGAGAGCTATCAGTCATTAATATGGCTGTAATATCACATTAATATGGCTGTAATATCACATTAATATCTTTGACCTCGTTTCAAGTTCAGTTGTATAGGATTCAATTTGAAATGACTGAGATGAGAACTAACATCATCCCACCATAAACTTTTCTTTAAGCCCTGTATTTAGAAGGGGAGTAACGCGTGGTTTCCTTAATGCACGTCTAGCAAAAGACGAGTTACCCTGCAGGCTTTCGCTGTAGTTTGTGCGGAGAGCAGAGCAGCAGGGGGAGGAGCAAAATAACCTCACCCAGCACCAAGCGCTCATCACCTGGCCGAGTCTGAAAGAGCCACAGCCTTACCTGAAGCACCTCCTTTTCTTTTGCAGCTGTTTGATTAAATAGCCTCAAATCTTCAACGAGCTTCTCAGTTAACAGCTGGAGAGCCAAAAGGAAAATGGTTGAATGTAACGCAAATAAATGCAAGTCTCAGCAGCTTCTTCCATAACATCAGCAGG